TTCAAAAGGTAAGTTTTTGTATAATTATTTGATACATAGCTATCAGACGATCGGACATGCTAAGTCCCATCTGCGCAGTCTTTGCTCTCGGGTTTCACACGAATTCCCGTTAATCCGAGCTTTACTATGATTTCATATAATTGGTCGCTGGAATACCGAACGAGCATAGATTGTGATATCTGTTGTTTTTGTTAGTTCTAATTGCTGTAATTCTTCTAGAATTTTTTACTGAATACCGGTACTAAAGCGAAATTCTCCAGGGCAACAATATCTCAGTCAATATTATCTTTGCTATTTTTATATAAATGCTCATCGTTTTATGTACCATTACTTTTATAAAATTTAGTTATGCTTGGATCCATGTCTCTACTTCTTGGGTTGTCCAACCTGCTTCTCCTCTGCGACGCATCTATAATTGTCAGAAGCAGATTGAAAAGACAGACAGGCACAGGTTTGATATAGCCGCTTTGACTCACCTAGATATAGTTCAATTTTCTCGTTTGTAACAAAAATAAGAGCCGAAGAGGCGAATTGTTAATTTCTTTGACTGAAAAGTCTCAGGATGCATGCAATCGCGTTCAAAATTCTCTCTGAAATTATGATATCACGCAGTTTCCGCATTAACTAACGATTTCCGCAAAATTGGAGAAGATTCTGCTTCTCAAATGCTTCACATTAAAGGAAACATTCTGTTTGAAGAAAATTCATAGAGTTCAGATTGATTTTTTCTACACTCTCGCTTAATAGCGCGTCTTTTCTCCATCCGCTTTTTATTATTTCCAGCTGTTATTGCCGATGCACTTACTGAAGGGCTTGGAGATGATGTGTTGACAAATGCGACTTCACACATTCATAAGGTTAATGTTTGTAAGAATTCAGAATATAGATTGTTGAAAATAAAATAGTAAAGTAATAAGAAAAGCTCTGTATTAATCCCATGGAAGAAACAGTTGCAAAGTAAATTTCTCTTGCAGAACGCAGATGGTACCGTCAATTTGAATGTGTCTTCATCGGGAGATGCCGTTGGCGAGAATCATTCATTCGTTAAAAATCAAGCCCTGGGACAGATTGGATTCTTAGGCAGGTTTATACATTTATGATCCATAATTGAATCTCAAGTAGTCTTCGTAAGATGTCTTTTCTGAGTGTAGCACAAGTCGTGTAAAGAAGCTATTAATTCATGCAAGCTCTTTTATGTGTGATTGCAATCAAAAATTTCAAGTTTTGTCGTAATAAACTATTGTACAAATTTGCATGCTTGCGATTTTTGAAGCTGAGCTCCCTGATTTAAGAGAAGCTTGTGGAACTCTTCCCTCCACCCATGAGAAATTTCCAGCTACCGCTATGTTCTTAAATATCCCCGAAAACGCAGAGAAACATGCAATCTGTGATGCACACTTTTAGATTTGAAATTAAGCCATACATCTCGGATATTCATTTAGAAAATCGAAACATGTTCGAAAAATAATTTTTATAGGTCTCAATGCTACCGGCGATGTTGACGCACAAGGTCAGAACGCATTAGCCTCATCATTAATATCAGCGGCAGCTAATGGGTCCGACCAATCCGTCTCTAGCCTTCAAATGGTGGGCGCTTTGCGGAAAAAGAATTTCCAAAATCCTCGCAAATGTTCAGGGACAAGCAGATGGAAGAGGCGACACATTGGTGCAATCAAGTGGTGGAGCGGTCATGTCAAATTTTGGATTCAATAGTCCTTACAGTAAGTAAATGTTGATAATGGCCTCAAGCGGGGTTCTGGATCGCCCTCTTGTTCGTGCCAGCACCGTG